ACCTTTTTGCCTAGGGCCCAGCCTCGGGGCCTAGGCCCCTCCTTCTAGCCCCAAGCCAATACAGAAGCAACACGTCAAAAAGAGTGCATCGAAGGGTTTAAGTGCTAGAGCAGTGCGACCTAGAGAACAGAATTAACTCTTCATAAGTTAACGTTTTTTGCTTGAAACCAAACCCTAAATTGATTCATTTCCATCGTCAATTCACATAAATTTGACTCGTAACGAACTAGCTTTTGTTTTGTCCCGATATATTGGGTTTAAGGCTGGGTTTGGCTGGTTTTTTACGCTCCAACGGTCGGCCGCCGCCCTGGAAAGTGCAGTGCAGTTGTCCGGCGTGCCGAAAGGCCGTTCTCGTACCCACCGGGAGGCGTTTACGCAGAGCCAGTCATGCAAAAGGGATGGGCCCAACAAAAACGACGTTTCGGTTGTTTTGTAACTGGGCGGGCAACGTGTGCCCCTGCCTGTCACTGCTGTGGAGCACGCTCGGCCTCTCAACCGCTTTCGGTGGGATCCTGGGCGTTCGAAGCTTCAGACATTAGATGGGGCAAGTCGTCTCATGCCGTGTCGGCTCTTCGGATGCGTGGATCCAACTGGAAGCAGCCAGACCTCGACCCCACCTTTTCAACGCTAGGTTCAAAAAGAAGGCCTTCGTGAACCGTGTTCCTTCAGAGAGCCTAAGCTTTGCGATAAGTGCTTTTCACGAGTGCGTGATAATAATGCTTTATCGTGTGCTTAACGACTGCCGGCAACGTTTGCTTAGCTTGGTTAGCTAAGCAGCTAAGACAGCTCAAGGCTTGTAGTTTTCTTTCTTTGCACACCCTATGGCATTATGGACGTTCCAGGGTTGGACGTCAATTGTCAATCGCGTGGCTTGCGAACGCGCGCTATCTCAGCAGATTACGTATGACCATACGTCTCACGATTAGGAGTTCAGTCGGATCCACCACCAGTTCCCGGGTAAGGAGTTTCCCCAAAGCCTTGTCGGTTTTTCGGTCCAGCTCGAAGCAGCCAGACTTCGACCCCACCGTTTCAACGCTAGGTTCAAAAAGAAGGCCTTCGTGAGCCGTGTTCTTTGAGGGAGTTTAAGCTTTGTGAAAACAACAGCATCAGCTTCGCAAGCATTGGTGCTCAGAATTTTCACCCACCCTCCACGCCCTGGCGGGAACTGCTCGGCATCGATTGCCACGGTTTTTGACCTCCGAGCAAAGCTTCGCACGCACTGCATCTTACGAGCAACCTCCGCGGAAAAAGAGAATGAAGTTCGCATTGCCTTGCTTGCTTTTCTAATTATTCTAACTGACTAGAGAACACATTTTCACTAGACTTGTCCACGAGCAACACGGCTGCACCCAGACCAAAGCTGGAAAATGGGCGCGCGTGCTGGAGGAGCAAGTGGAAAGAGACAATGTAATGAGCTTTACAAGCTTTTGGAAGACCGTGCATGTCATGTCGGAGCAAACTGCAACTAGGGTCACATCAGTCTACTCCACGATGGTCAAACAAACAGTAACATAATTAGGGAAGGATCAAGTTACATTGATTGAATAGAAAGTTGTTGCACTGGCCATCGCAAAGAAAACAGATTCGATTTTGGGCGGATGGTACAACTTAGTGTGAGATGTCGTTCTTTCTGTTGCATGGCAACTTTCAACATCAAGGAGGCTTGAGGACAATTCAAAATCGACAAGTCGTCGCAGAGGAGCATGTTGGCAATGCCCAGCAATGCAAAAGCCTGCGGATCTGAACATTGTAGCAAGTTCACTGCAGTTGTTTCCGTTGTTTTAGCCCTGCTTAAGAACTTGACTGCAGGCCGGTACCAATGTGTCTTTCGGGCCTTACGTCGCCCTTCACATGCGCAACTCTTTAGTCTTCCATCCATGGCTGCGTATTCGGCACGAGTGGTATACGGATCTGCAAGTATCGGCCTTGGCGACGTCATCACTGCAAAGTTTTCTGCGATTCAAGCTTTTTGAGAGTCAGGCAGTGGAGGTCCCCGGAAGTTCCAGCAGGATGTGGCTTGGCAAGCTAAAGCACGGTCGTAGGTGTGTCGCAGGTGCGTCACATAGGTGAGTTCTTGCAGCTTAGCTGCGTGCTTAGCTGAGCTATGTGCTTGCTGCTTGCACAGGTTCACCGTAAGCGTGGCAGCTCCGGACCTGCAGGGAGGCACCCGTTGTTCATGATACCAGGAAGTCATCTGCAAGCATTCTGGCACACGTCGAATGTCTTGGACGGTCACATTAGCCAATTGCATGAGCCGGCCGTGCTCAAACTTCGTTGTGCTGTAGCATTTCTTTGGAGCTTGTCGTGTATGTGTTCGATGCGACGGTCGCTTATCTTTCGTCAGGCGGCCTGCAGAGGAACGCCAGCGGACGGAAAAGCCAGCTGGCGGTGATCGGGCAGGAACGTTTTGAGTGCAAAGCCCATTAGATTAGACTAGACGAGGTGGGTGCGAGCTTGAAAGTTTGCGAGCAATTTCAAGTGTGCTTGGCGAGGAGCTTCTGCTTCTGGCGGAGTTGTCCGTCCAGGCTGGCGGGTGCAACGCAGAGTTGCTAAAGCTCCCAGCAAGCCTAGCAGACCGTCAGGCTCGCGAACCGTCCACGAGGACTCCGGGGTAAGCGCTTCCAAAGTTCTTTGGTGGGAGCGGGTGAATGCAGGCTCGCCATGGAGACTCGCAGCCAGTCCCGGTTCCATTGAGCCGGATCCATGCTGCCCGGATCCTTAGGAGAAAATTGCTTTTGTTTTGAAACTCGAAGAGTTCGGCCGCAGCCCAGGCCTTGGAGCGCAGACACCTGGAGCGGGCAGCCAAGCCAAGGTGCAGCGGTCTGTGATGGTTCCGTAACCCCCAACCTCAACCAAACGTGTTTTCCTATACTTGTGGGAGTATGATTCGGATTATGGGGATGCAGTGGTGTAGTCGCGGACGGTGCAGTTGGTATGTTGATTCACAAATCTTGCTCCCAAGCTGTCCGGACCATACCATGTCTGCCGTGCGTTCCAGGCGACAAGAGGAGCAAGGAGTCCAGGTGCAAGCAGCTCAGGGCCACATGAGGGTGATAATCCAGCATGCGGATGTTTGACATGTCATGGACCAAGGTTCAAGCACTGTGAGGAGCCTTTCCACGAAGGTAAGCCATTGACAGAGCCACGCTTGAGGATAGATGCTGCAAGAATAGTTGTCAAACTTGTCGCACGTTCAGGCTTCGATGACCACCAGCTACGACCCGTGTGGGAGCCGTGGTGGACAAAGGGTGTTCGCGTGCCTTGAGACCTCCCTGCTCTGAGGTCCGGGGCAGGGTCACCGCCTTCGCAGGCACAGCCGACGCAGACCTGGGAGGATCGTCCGGAACGGGTTCGCCCAAGAACGCAGGGTCCACAGTGTGGGCCAGAGCCGGTGTCGGACCAAGGCCGGACGAAAGGTCAGTGAGCTTCTGACCGCAACAAGGTCTTCGAGTAACTGCGCTTCTGACGATCGGACTGAACTGCCACCACGTCCCTCGACGTTCCGAAGCTCAGCTTCCAGCCAAGATATTCTCACATCAGTACATAAGTAACATGTCAATGAAACTTTGTCGGATCCATGCGTGCAAGTTCGTCTGTGTCTATTGTGCTTGCGTGCATGCAACAGCATGTTGACCTGTCGTTTTTCCCGTGCCATGGAGGCGAAGTTTCCGGACAACAAATTTTCCCTCGAAGAAGTATATCATAAACACTGCAATTGCTGTCTGCGTACAGGCCGTCCGCACAGCTGAGGCCCTGCATGAACAGAGGCCTCGTTCACACCGAAGAGCCACCAGAGGTGAGAGTGACCGGTGCCCAAAGCCTGCCTTCATCGATCAATGTGTCTTTGGGGCTTGCGTGTGCTTCTGCCCCTCCCTGAGGCCTACCGGCAGCTCGCCTTCCGATGCTCAACCGGAGCTTCCACCGCGGCCCACGACGCCCCTGCACACAGTTCGAATTTTCTTGATTTCATCGCACCTTTTGCAAATCGAGGCCTTGTATGAACCGGGGTGGTGATGGAGCTTCGGGCCCAGAATCAATGTCACAGTCCTCTCAGACTCAGACTACGCAGTTCAAAGTTCCCTGACAGATGCGGCGCAAGCGGACAAGTTCTGCCGGAAGGCTGGGCAGGTCGGATCCCTGCTCAACAACTTCGCCGAGAGTTTCCTGGAGGCCTGGAAGAGGTGTCCGCCCCGCATCTGGATCAGTGGCTTGGCTTCAGTCTCGTTCACGGCGAAAAGTTGGTCCGCTGGACTTTATTTGCTTTCACCCTGAAGGTGGGTTCTCGCATGCACCAGCTGGAAAGTTCCTCGAACGCACTGGGATTGTGGCCAGCGGACGTCGCATCCGTGCGCTTCAAGTTGGCATGAAGGTCGACTGTTGAGTGCGCACCAGCAATCCGGTTCAGAGGCACCCGCCGGAAGCTGAGCTCTCATATACTTGTTAGTCGATGTCGATGCCTCTATTAGTGGGCCATGAGTGTCGTTCTCTCCAGGCTCCAGGTGAGGCACCGCGCCAAGTTCGGCCGCCAGCCCTGATAGTAAAGCAGCCAGCATGCGAAGGCCCCAAGTCTTCTTGAAAGCCTAGGCCCGCTTCTTCTGGGGGTCGCTGCCAGCCAAATGGAGATGGGCCCTCAGCGAACATCTTTCGGCGTCTTTCGATCTCTGCGATCGATTCGCCGACTTCAGGCACGAGTGTCTCAAAAGCTGGTGCAGGAGGCTGGGGGAAAAAAATCGAAACCCATGCCTACGTCGGCGGTTCTCCGGTCAGGCGATGGAGATGTGTCGACAATCAAAGGCTGGTGGGAGCAACAGCGCCGCCTTTTGGACAACACCAGAGACCAAAGATGCCGAATGATGACTCGTAGCATGGCCCAGCTGTTTTGTCCGAAGAAGCGTTTGCAAGCAAGGCCACCGTGTGCAGCACGACGGCAGATGGCACAGAGGCGGGGCAGAGCGATCGGATCTTCACGTGACATGGGCCGTTTCTGGCGCGCAGACTGGGGAGCCTGCGTCGCCGGCATTGTCGCCACCTCCAGAGCGTCTCGAAAGGCAGAACTGAGCTTGTTTTACACGGGCGGCCGGCGGCTCACACATCGCCCAGCAGGCCACAGGCCCCAACGCCTGAGCAAACGAACCACTGGTTGCAGGCGCCTTCTCTTGTGCTTTGCATCTCCCAACGCAGAAGTGATTTGCCTGTGTTCTCACGGCTCCTGTGCTTGTGGCTTGCTGCACAGTCCCTTAGTGCTCAGGGTATGGAGTGCAGTGCCGAGCCAGAAGCAAGTACGGAGCAGCCAAGCGCGTCTCTGCAGGCTCGTGCATTTTCGGTGCATTCTCGCATCTCAGCCGTCCCAGCATTTCCCTGCCAGTATCGCGTCGTCTCTCCAGCTCGTGGTTCCGACGAGGATGGCTCAGCTCAGTGCATGTTCCTTGCTCAGTTCGCAGAGCGAGCGCTCAAGTTCCATACCAGCTGGAATCAAGCGTTGTCCATGCGTGCTCCGTGCTCAGGCGTCCCAGAAGCCCAACTCCAACGAAGATGTTGGCTTGGGGTGAGGAGCAGGCACTCCTTTTGTGCGGGCGAGGTGCCGTTCTCGCACTTGGCAAGACAGACCGAGTTCATGTGTCATGGCCAGGACAGTACCCCAAGTGGAGGACCCTCCTCGCGGCCGCTGTGCGCTTGATAGCCTGCCTTCAGGGGTTTTCTGTGGCGATCCAGCAAAAAATACGGGTACCGGGCGGATTGGGCGGACTTTCGCAGTGCTTGCGGTTTCCTCTGAAGCGCGCAGCGCATCCTTGGCGGAGGGCCGAGGCCAGGCAAGACGCTGACAGGTACGGCTCGCCAGCGAGCGACGAAGATGATCCTTTTGGACGAGGAGGGGTCACCCGGGCCCGGCCGTGGCCGGCTCTGGGCACTGTGCCTATTCGCAACGCAATGCAACGCACCTGCAGGGGACCATTCCGACGGCCTGATCAACCGGCTGATTGAGGCGAGCCATTCTCAGCGAAAGGGCAAGCTCAGCTTCTGAGCACGAGGCCTGTCAGATGGACGACGTTCGTCGGGCCTTTGGCATCTACGAACGGTGCGACAGCAAAATCTCAGCTGGCCCAAATTGAGAAATTGATCGAAGCTCCTCGGAAGGTTGCGCCGAATGGAAGTCCCGCTCTACGAGGGGGCCGTGGGACCTGGAAGGGTTCGAGAGTTGAGACGAGGGGAGGTCCACCTAAGGCCAAGCTTCTCGGATTCTTGGGCTCTGAGGTCTACAAGCTTATCATCGAGCCTTGGCCTCGGAGAACACCTCCCATAACAACTGACATGCGCTCTGTGCCAAGGTGCTGCACCCGCACTCATCAGCTCGGCCATGGCATCCAGCCTCGCTCTCGATGCCGGTGTCGCTTGCTGTGCCGGACAGCAAAAACCCCTCAGAGGTTCTACGAGACGCTGAAGAGTGCGGCCCCTTGTGGACAAACGACCGTTCGGGCCTCTTTTTGCATCAGAGGCTCCGGGCAGCGCGTCTCCTCCCGGCTCCTGATCGTTCTGATCGAGGCCGCTCCGGCTGAGTGGGTCGTCCGGGAGCTTCCTTGTCGCTTTGCGAGGCATGTGCCAGGGAGCAGCACAGCGACAAGGCAGGCCCGTCAAACCACTCTGGAGACAGAAGAAAGGCTAATTGAATGGTTGACTTTTTGAAGCTTTGAAATGCTAATGAAAGCTCTTCTTCCCCTGTTGCTTTTTCAGGTGTATGCGCTCTGGCAGGCAACGGAAAGCTTGGATTGGAAGACATTGAACGAGTCATGAGTCATGATGCTATCCGCAGTAGCCTTTCTTGGGCGTGCGTCGAGGACTCTTGCCCAAGAGGGGATGAGATTGATGCGAGCCAGCGCGAAGTGTTGCTGGTGACCCTAGCATCATTGCCGTCGCCTCAGCTGAAACGGGGAAGGTCTGTGTGCGATTGCATCGGCAACATCCTGAGGGTCCGCACCATGAGCCCCGACCTAGCCCTGGAGATCTTGCGGGACACCCTGCAGAGGCGGCTGGCTGCTCATGAAAGCAGGTGTGCAGCGCATCTGCCGTGACAGGTATCGAACTGCTGTGGCCTGGCTGGTGGAGTCACAAACGCAGGCAGCAGGGATGCCGAGGGCTCATCGACTCGAGACCGAGACGGAGTCATCGAAGGTCAAGGATCTCCTCCAGCTCGTGGTGAGCGCTGCCAGCCAGGGGCCTATGAGAAGCTTTTGTGAAGTCTCTCTCTGTGCTCTTCGTCTCTGAGGCGAGGCGCAGCTCGACCGAGCTGGGCAGTTGGGTCGGAGGGCTCAGGGACGACTAAGAGCGATCTCGCGCTCTCTCCCGCTCTCCTGCGCCTTGAGGCCACGGTCTCCTCGCCAGCTACAGGGGCCTCGAGGTGCAGAAGCGTGTAAGCCCACCTTTTGGCATCGTTGGTGCTGCGCAGGACCTGCTTCAGTGGCTTTTAGAGGAAGCAGACCGGCAGATGCTGGCTGTGCCATGCAAGAACCCAGCTCTTGGCCATGGTCTCGTGTCAAGAGACGTTGCTTGGGAGCGTGCTTGAGGGGGAGAGCGGGGGCACCGAAGGCTCGGAGAGTCCCACCAGCATCGCCACGCGACCGCCAAGTGGCCGAGCGGGCACCGGCAGAGGGCTTGGGGGGCCGGAGCAGACAGATCCGTGGGAACTTTCCTTGCTCAATTCTTGCGCATTTGCAGGCTTTGCCGTGGAGGATGAGATGCTGTTAATGGAGGCACAGCCTTGTTGCGCTGTCACGGGGAAACCAGGATCATGAAGCACTGTAGCCCTGCCAGATTTGTCAGTGTCCGCTGACTTTTCTCTGTCACGCGATGCTCTTGCTCATCCGCCAAATCTCGCACCGGAACATCAGTGACGATGTGCTTAGCACTGTGCTCAATGCACATGACGACTTTTGAACGAAGCTTTCGGTACTGACATATCGGAGGACGTCGATCTCGATCTGGAGTCTGGCCCTCATGCGTTGCACTGCGGGCTGAGGGCTCAAGTTAGTGGGTGGGCTGTTGATGAAGAGTTGTCCTGTTACCATGACTTGGGCCATTCGCATGGCTCTATGCACCGCGTTGAGAGACGTCCTTGTCATGGCAGCCTCTACTTGCTTGCAGTTTTCCAGAAACTGGGTCGCTTGTTGGTTTCTTTTGGAGTCGCACAATGGCGCCAGGCTGGCTGCAATGTGAGCCCGTGTTTTCCAGAGCTTTCACGAAAAATGAGCTCAGAATCTGTGAGCTCGTTTACATGGCAGTGCGCCGAGATAATGTCTTCAGGCCGATCCACCCGTCGATTTCGATGAGGGAGGGGACGGGGAAGACTCGGAGGGCCTGGTGGAACGTGCCTGCAGTGCGTAGCAACGTAGTAGCGGTGCAGCTTGAAGACAAGAGCTCGCACCTTTTCGCTTGCCGAACGTCAAAAAACACACACCGATAGTAGCAAGAAGTGCAGGATGCCACCGCGAGTGCAGCAGTGCTTACGTCGGGTCTGCAAGAGGCTCGTGGCTAGCAAGATTTGTTTGCGACGGTGGGCCGGTTCCCTGTTTTTTCACTCCCGAAACTGGTTCGAAAAAGCTGGAAGTTGTCATCAAGCCAGCAGGCAACCATGGACTCTCAAAAGCAGGTCTCCTGCTAGCGCTCCAGTTCCTAGGCCTAGCGCAAGTGATTCCATGAATTTCACGAACCATAGATCCCTCAGCACTCATCGGCTCATCACCCATTCTTCACAAGAGAGGGATCCTTCTCGCAGTCCGACCACCCTGCTCTCTGGGCTACCTACCACCGGTGCTGTGCCAGAGGGGATGATGGCGACAGGCGGAGAGGCGCAGTGCTTTTGTAAGTTAGTCTCCTGTTTTCCCGTCACCCGTCTTTGACTGCAGGCGCAAGCCTTTTGAATGGTTAATGCTTGGAGGGCTCGCGCATGGTCGAGCCACGATGCGAGCCCTTTGACGATCTCCTCAAGGAGCCCAGTTGGAACAATCATGCTTACTTACAGTTGTATACAGTCAACTGTCACGGCGAGCTGAGGAGTTTGTCACGCACTCCGTGTTCTAGTTGGGCGCTCCGCTGCTTCCTATGGCTCTGCCTGTGTTGTGCCTCGTCACGGTTCCAGTCGAAGTGTGGCAGACCTTGAGGGCATGCGAAGTGCGTGGCATGCGCTGGCCAGCGCAGGTACAGTGCGCTCTGAGAGCAACCCTGCAGGCTCGGGCCGGGGACTTCTCCAGCGGCAGAAGTTCCTTGCGGGACAGCGACATGCCTGGAGATAGCAGGAAGGAGTCTGCATTTGGCATCTGTGCCTGGTCTGGCCAGCTGAGGTTTCACCATCTGGGAGCCCCAACTCTAGCGGGGCTGGACAATGCCATTTATCGATCCGGACGAGTGCGCTGCCTGGCAGAGCTAGCAGCTTGTGTTACCTGGTGTGTCCCTGGCCGAAGCTGCACTCGGCTCGCACCTGAGCCGTGTTCTGTCTTTGCAGGCTTCCGACCCCTTGGTTCGACCTGTGGCGAGCCCGGGTCTAGCGTCATGGACGCGGCAGTTCAGCCCCCCTGCGTGGGGAACATCTGCAATGGTCCTGCCAGTCGGGTTGGAGATCTTGCTGTTTGGGAGGATGTCCGAGTTGTGAGAGTCGGAGTCTACCAGCTGTGCTGGTGCAGACCAACCTTGACCTGTCAGCTGCTGAATACGTGCTGTGGGGAAGATGCTGATTTTGGTGAGGCAGCTGGGGAGGTAGAAGTGGTCGGTCCCGGCTGGATATTGGTCTCACCTGTGCTGGGCCAGGGATTTCGCTTCGAGCTCGTGTATCCCGAAGCTTTGCCGGGTTCCCAGGTGCTGCTTCGGCTCAGACAAGAGGGGCCCTGTGGTCTGCCGCGTGACGCAGCGGAAGTGCGAGCCTCGCTTCTCCGGGGCGACGGAAACGTGGAAGATGAGGAGCTCCCTCTCGCAACGCCTCTGGATCAGGCTGCAAGCCTGAACTTCACAGGGGACTTCTCGGACCGATACGTTGCGTACCTCTACAGACATTTAACTTACACCGTCTGCTGGTGCGCCCAGTACTGCTTCAAGCACGAAGATGGTAGCATCAACGAAGAAGCCTTTGGGGCCGAGGTGGGCTTGTTTTATCCACGAGGCCCCGACACGGAGAACATGGCTCCGCAGTATGCAGTGGCTGGGGTGTCATTTGCATTGTATGTGCAGGGCGATCGCTTGTCTGTGAAGGACCGGGTCCTCGTTCCTGAAAGCAGCACCTTGTGTGGCGATCCCGACACGGGACATGCCCTGGCGTTCCGCTCCTACATCTGCGGGCGCGGCCAGAGCTCCTGCATTGCAACACCCGCAAACGGACCGCCCACGTCCTTCGAGGACATGGCAGACATGGTGGGGGAATCGGGGCTTAGCTTCCAGCGTGGGGGCTGGGAACCGGTGCAGATCGACAGCCCTGGCACCTACCGCATCTGCTGGTGCGTAGACGACACCTGGGACCCTGTAAAGCTCGAGAGCCATGGCTACTGCGGCTCGGGCTTCCAGTATGGGGTCGAAGCTGGTTTGGTCATTGTCCAAGGAGCTGTGGGAGATCAGGAATTCCCGTGCAGCGCCTTCCAGCCCTGCCAGTTCGAGGTGCACTCTGAGCTGCCATTTGATGCTGAAGACCAGATTCTGATGCTTGCCAGACACGTAAGTTGCTTTGTGAGGGAGCTTTGGGATTTTTGAATTCTAGTGAAGTGATTAAACGGGTGACTACCTTTGCCGTAACCGTGACAAAGAGCCGATAGACTGGACTCGAAGAAGATGCATTTGCAGTTGATGGTGGGTGCCCCCAGGATCGTCGCTCCACCTCCCACGGCGACCAATTCACTGGCTACAATCTGCGGTCGTGGGACTTCAGGGCTGCAGGAGTGGCCCCTTCCGCTCTTACCAGATTTGTCATGCCTCAGATCTCGCTCAAGTCCTGTTTGAACTTGTTTTGTCAGGTCCGCATCACGGGGTCCTCTGCGGTGTATCCCAGCACCACGACCGTGCCCAGCGACGAGGAGAACACGACCACGCCGGCACCTCTTCAGCCGATGTATTACGTTGGCAACGTTCAGCTGGACTCTGCCGGGCAAGCTGGCCTCTACAGGGTCTGCTACTGTAGCTCGGCATTGATGCGGAGATCCAATTCATGATGCCGCTCTCTCTCAGAAGTAGAGACTCGCAGGCAAGCACTCGGAGATGGGGCCCTGTGATGATGCCGTCGCCTTTGCGCAGTATGCCGGCACCCTGAACTTCGGAGCAAATAGGGTGGGAAGAGCACACTGCAAAGAGGCGCCAGTGGGCCGAAGTAGCGGGCCAGAGTCTTTGAGTGAGGTGCTCTCGCTCCCTCTGTGTCCTTGTAAGGAACATTACCGGGGAGATCCGCCGCGATGACTCCACGCAATTGCATCAAAGCTGTTTGTCCAACAGCCCCTGCAAATTCAATGTGACGGGAGCCTCTCGGCAAAAGCTTAGTGCTGGTTGGTGAAGCGACAGAGCCATGCTCCGTTGCCACTTCGAGCAAAGGTCTGGGCCATGCAGCTGAGCTTCTACGACTCTTTCAAAGCCGTTCCTCTCGATAGAGAATGCGGAGAGGCCGCCCAACTGCAAGCACCGTCCGCTTCTTTTGTCGGCCCCGGAAATGCTGTGACCGAGGTCATGGATTCCTCCAGTCACCCAGAGTTCAGCTTGCTACGCAGGACAGATCAGCGAATGGAACAGATGCAGACCGCAGGGGCCGGGTCGTTTATGCTTTCAGCTGTCGCATCTATCTTCAACCCCACGTCGTGTGGCGAAGGATGGAGCTTCTTGACTCCTGGGCCAGCGAATTTGCACATAGGGCTGGCGCCTCAGAATCTGAAAAGTCGTTGTCGGGTCTTCGGTCTACACTGCCAGCTGCAAGCCTTTGACGAAGCAATGGGGATTAAGAACGCATGGCTTTCCCCAGGCTGGTGTGGAGACGCTCTTTGGTGCCGGTGACTACAGGCTTTGCTATTGCCACTCGCCAGAGGAAAGGTATCTGTGAAAGGAGACGCATGCACCGATTGCCAAAATCGAGGCCAAGCTTCCATGACGAGTGACGGAAGGTGTGATGCTTCCGAATCTTGGCTCAAGTTGTCTTCTTTGCGTCCTCGTGTCCTTTGCATCCGGGGAAGCTTCGGCAGGTGGAGCACACTCACGAGATTGGCAGTCTGTACATGGTTGGGGCACTGCGGCTCGCCTGGATTCCGCTTATCTCAGAAAGTGAAGTCACGACACCGAGTAGCCAAGGTCAACTATGGAATGGTCGTGTCGACAGGGCGCAGACTGTGGGATCTTGGCCGGAGTCCAGAGTCTCTCCTTCCCCTGTTGGCGATCCGTGCGACGTTGGAGGTCCATGGCTGGCGCGTCGCCAGGGGCGATGCAATTCGGCTGGTGCCGCTTTCCTTCTCCTGCGGAGATCCGGATCCGTTGGATACATATCTGGGAGCAGGCGAGAAGTTTTCCTGAAAGCCTTTTCCGAGCCTTCCTCGTGCCGAAAACATTCGTATTTTCAGGCTTTGATCACAACCCAGCGGTCGCGAATCGGACGGACAACCTCACAAGGGGGGTGCGCTCGCCTTTCCACCTCCAGCAAGCAGTCGGGAGTTGCAGTTGCCTCCCGCAGCACGTGTCACGAGCCCAAGTCGGAGGTACTCCTCCACTTCGATCTCGGCAAATCACGGGGCTCCGGAACGTGGCGAGTTTGTCTCTGCCAGAGCCTCGGAAAGTCAACAGCCCTGCTGCTGCCTCCCGCTAACCTGTGCAAGGTGTGGCAGCAGTGGCCAAGAGCGGAGATGGGTGCATGTATGCAGGGGACTATGCCCAACCGGCGGTATTCCCAGATCTTAACCAGTGCGGATATCTGCGGCATGGCAATTAGCAGCTATGCATTGCTCGCAGGTCGGAGAGCTGATTATTGAAGGTCTACTACGATCAGTTTCTGCAGCGCAGCTGGGTTGCAAGAAGTCATCAAGTGTCGCAAGCTGTCTACTAAGAGCTTGACTTCTGGCCAGTCGTGCTTATCCATACTCACCTCGACATTCCAGCCGTGCCACGCCATGCTGAGGAGGCAGACACACGCTCATTTTCGATTGTTGGACTTGTATCCTGCGCAGGCCGTCGCTGTAGCTAAATGTCTTCAAGATGTTGTCATTCATGCGAAGGAGCTGCTGAAAACAGGAATCTCAGGGTTGTGAGTCCACACACCGTCCAAATCCCTACCACAGTGGCATGTACTTGTTGGCTGCAACGAAGTTCGCAGACTTCCTTACTCACCGAACACCAAACAACCGACCACCGAACGCAAGGCAGAGTACACTCCTAGAGAGTCAAGGAGGTCGATGCCGGCACTCTAACACTCGCAAAGACTGGGCTTGTTCTCTGAGCCCAAAGCATGTATCACGAATGTGTCTGGTGTCTGGGCAGTCTCTGAGCGCTACGACCGTGCAGAGCTCAGGTCGTCGCAGCCTGCCACGGTGGCCATCGCGTCAATACTGGCGGGCTCCCCAAAAAACTGGGAAAAGGGGGCGGAGCACAGAGCGGAGCCGGAGCTGTCGACTTAAATGTGACTTAGGTTGAGGTCATTGTACCGGGTGGTCCTCAGAGTGCCATTCTCCCAGCCGATGTGAAGAAGTCCGGCCACCCATCAAAAGAGCAGCGTAATAAGGTGGCGTGTGCGGCTTCAAACCAGACGCTCGACCAGGTCCTTTTTGCTCTCTCCTCTTTTCTTTTTGAACACTTTTTGGCGCTTAGGCTTGAGTAGCTTGGTCTGCAGGCTCCATCAAGCTTCGCGATTCTGAATTGCAAGAACAGCATACCGGGCTGCCTGGGCCTCGCAATTCTTCCCTGGCGCGCAGAGGAGGCGGCTCTCTTCCCGCGCCCGCCCCCATCTTTTTTTGATGGATGGATGTGGGTGGGTTTGTAATCCTAGGTGGGGGTTTGTTTGAAACGTGTGCGGTTTGTGCAGGGCTTCAATGTGCTCCACCTGCCCTTTGCCGAGAATGCGCTCTTGGAGCCAGGCTGCGGATCCCCAGAACCCAGACTGCTTATTGCTGTCGGATTGGCATCAAGGCGTAGCCGCACGAACTGCTCATGTCTGGTGCACCGGGGCTCTGCTCTCAGTCAGCGACTGCAGCGTGAGAGCCAGGGCGTGTAGCTGAGCTTCGCATGAAGGACATTGCGCTCTGCCCAACCGGTCGCTGCGTGCTTCCACCCACACCCGAAGGGCCCGGAACTCATTGGAGTGTTACGGCTCAATGCCAACTCAGAACATCCGGTTTGCCTAGGCAATAAAGTACCTCGTCCTTCAGAAATTTCCTTGTCCTGTGCCCGATTGAATCCAACGCCGTTTCCTGCAAACACCGCGGCACCACAATGCACGCGGTGTTGCATCCAGCTGGAAGCCACATCGGAACCACAGCGAGGGCGGAAAAGAAAACGCATCAAAATCCCAGCTTGCGGACATTCAACCTTCCGTGGTATTTGACAGAGCCAGGTGGGGTTTCTGAAAATGCTCTCACCTGGTCAGAAACGCATTTTCACCTTTTCTGGTCGGTGTTCAAACCCGTGCGACGTCGAGGCTATAGAGGTCCATGTGCTTGGCAAGTGCTTAATGAGCGCTTAGCAGCTTTAGCAAGGGCTTAGCAAGCTGGAAGCTTCTGCAGTGAATGTGCGGGCAACATATCCCCGATTCCATGAACGTGACGCTTGACGACCGACATCGAACGACGGGTCACCCAGGCTTGCTCATTCTCGGTCCTGGTCCAGGCCATTCAACAACATGTCCTGTTTCACCCCTCGGAGAAAAGATGAAGGGACGACACAAATCGTAGCAAGCTGATGTTGCTTGCATGTTTGATGTAGTGGGCCCTCAAGAAAACCTCCTCGTCCTCCAAGTCGGCATCTCCGCCGGTTGCCCCCCTCCCCGACCCCCCCACCTCCCTAAGATGCATCAAAGCACGCAGCAAACTAGCATGCACCGGCTGTGAAGGCATCAAGGGTCTACAAGGCACTTGCTAAGTTCCGAGCTCTTGCAAGCCAGTTGCTAAGCACTTGCTGAGCCCACTCGGGCTCTCCCCCACCCTCTCCCTCTCCACATCTCCATATTCATCTTTCCCCGTGTGTTTTCGTTGACGTTTCAGGGCACATGAAAAAGCTTCGAGGCGCTTGATTCCTTTGGATCCTGGTCCCGATCGTTGGACCAGCGTGCCTGCCACAATCTACGAGCCTTTGGACCTCAAGGCGCCTTTCAGACAGGCCAGGGCCTGCAAAGCCTAGGGCCTAGCACTTTCGTGAGGTCCATGGAGATCCGCTCAATGCCAATGTTGCCATCTCGGATGCGATGTGGGTGTCCGCTTCTTTCACAGCATCTGCATGTGCGCATCCTCTCAGGGTGGCTACCTGAAGATCGTGTGGCCACACGATGGCTGTCCGGAGGCCCGCTAATGATGCTAATGTGTTGACCGCAAAATCATTGAAAGTTGGACAGCCAGGTTGGCCAGCCCTGGGCGGATGCTATCGTCTCTCCGTTCGACATGGGGCCGGAGACAGGGCATCTCGACTGTCAGAGAGCTCCTTGCCGTCCTTGCAGTGTTGCAGGCGCCCGGTCATTGCGGCCGTGGGAAGATACGTGCAGTGGAGACGTGAATCACTTCCGTTTGCAGGGACGCCTGCAGCTCAGATGCTTGCGAACTACCTCTTCTGTTCGCCAAGCTCTTTTGCTCGTGCCACTCTAGGATGGTTCCGAACTTGTTGAATCGATCTCTTGCCACAGTGCCGTGTGCATTTTGGTTGGAATTCGTGCTCTCGCCGAAGTCCCGTGCTCATTCATGCTGTCAACTAGCTCGAACGTTTCCAAGCCTATTCGGCCCCTCAGGCCTCGTTGAGTGCGTGCAGTCTCGAAATCCGAGTTCAAGAATTTCCAAAGTTTGCAATCGTGCTCCCGCCACAGAGCCCTGAATGTTGTGGGGGTGGGATTCTCGTCTTCCTGCCACAGGGCATTGCGCTTCTGCCTCCAACCATGCTCCCACCACAGTAGCGTGCGTGTTTCGACAGTCCTGCACAAGTTGTGGCGGGTTTCGTGTTCCCAGGAAGTGGTGCGGTGCGGGCTGCGCATTTGGAATTCATGAGGTGTTCGTGGCTCATGAGTGTTCCTGTACAGTAGGGGTTGTTGGGCTTGAGCTGCTGGGTGATCTGACCTTTCAATGTCCGGGTGCGTCCGAAGTTACCCTCTAAACAGACTCTACAGCCTCAGTTGAGGTTCTGGCTTTGCTGGTGAGCGCTGCATGCTTGAGAGGGCTACTGCGGCAATGCACCCGTTTCTGTCGCCCGTCCGGCTTCTGAGAAGCTGAAGCTGAAAACATTGCAGGTGTGATCGCTCGTATGGCGCTGACTGTGCGCTCTGGCAGCACGTCGGTGAGTTGGTCGTTGCCGGCCCGACAAACGTCACGACCTCGACAGCATGCAGCCTTTGTTGCCAGTCACTGCAAATCGTATTGCGGAGCCCAGGTGACGAGGATCCCGGAATTCGTGGAGCTGCTAGAGGTGTCCTGTCGTGACTCATTGCTGTGGCAAACGCCTCAGTTCGACAGTCGGATCCAGGCCTTCAACGTCACTCTCTCCGGGGTCAACCTCTCCGACCAGGCACAGCTGCATAGCGCTGCATGGCTCTGTGCTTCAGACCGGGTCCCTGGGGGTCTCCTGCAGGAGAGGCTCTCGGTGCAGCCGGGCCAAAGCTGCAGCGAGGACGTAGAGCTCTTCAGCCCGGAAAGGGCCCGGGCCTCCCTGGTCGAAGGTTGAGCGGCAAAGAGAGGCAAGTCGACAATCAGCTTTTGGAGCTCAGGTCTATGCCAACACCTCCAAGGCAGACTTTGAAGTACAAGCGCCCCGATACCCTGGGCCATTCTCCATATGCTGGACACGAGGTGGCCTCTTGGTCGTGCCGCCTACACAGTTTTTCAGAGGCTTCCTACCACGGGCCGCCAGGCAACATCTCTTCTGGGTCGATGAAGCTGGCCAACGGCTTCGCCAGAGAGCACGAAGCTCGGGATTTTTCCAAGCCTTTTCAGTTCCCTTCGAAGTATAGGCTGAGCACCAAGGTCGAGGGACTGTTTGCTTGGAGGCAGGAATGGCTCGTATGCCTCAGTGCATGCCCGGACGTTTGCAAATGGAGTTGCAGGTTGGGAGTCCGCACCTGCTGACGAGCTCTTTCGATTTCCAACAGGCACGAACCAAGCCTTCATGGTCTAGTTTCCGAGTCAATGGTCCTTATCGCGAGAAGCTACGGGAATGTGGGTGGAGTGAGAGAAGAGCATTCGAATTTCCAAAGAAGGCGACTTCGGGCAGTTCGCATGCAGCCGGGCCTGTGGGGGCGGGCTCTTCGAGCTTCGCCGTCGCATCCTGGCGGAGGCCGGACTGCCTGGCAGTACTTCGTGTGAATCTTTGGCTCAACTTGCCTGAAACCTTCGCACATTGGAGAGCCATTCGACTTTTGTGCGAATTGGCGGTAACACAGACATGGATTTGCTGCTCCGAGCTTTTGAGACTTTTGCAGATTTTGTGCGAATCGTGGTTGTCCCTTCATCCTAACACGCAGAGGTTTGACACTGCTAGGCCGGAACTTGCTGACAAACAATCCCGCGACCAAAGGACAAGCTGGTCTTTCCAGTCGAACTGCGGGAACATAGAAGTCGGAGGAAATCTAGGAATTATCCAAGCTCCGGCAGGCTATTGGTGCTGGCTCCGAGTGTCCACCGCTGGGAGCTCAGACGGCTGAGGGATGCAAGGTGTTGGACGTGTCCGTGAGAGGTCTGACAGCCCGCTTCGCAGCCGCTTCGCATCGTGCAACGAGGAGCCCTGCCCCACAGCGTGGACCTCAAGACTCAGATGTTATCGGCTCACAAACCCGACAGTATATCTTGAATCCTCCAGCAAGCTTTCTTTCAGGGCGAAGTCTTCAGCGCACGCACCCACCCCGAGTGGGTGAAGCCAGGTGATGTGTTCCAGGCCCCTTGCACTGCAATGGCCCCCCATCCATGTCGTGAACATGTTTCCATGAGTCTCCTGGCACTGTCGCTTGCTTCTGGCAGATCCTCGTGGAGGGCGCATACCTCGACCCACTGGAGGTGCATGTCGAAGTCATGCTTTCAAGCTGTCTGTGTTCCTGCTAATTACAGTCTTCTGGCATCTTCTGGCCCTCAGAAATGACTCCATGCTGGAATGTCCACAGATGTCCATACCTGGCTGTAGTCATTCATGGCAAAAGAGATCTCAAAGTCGTGACCGCTTCTTTGCAGGATAGGGTGGTCCTGCTCACTGGAGGGGAAGATGCCGAGTGTGGCCAGGCCTGAACCGCTGCTTCAAGGAGCCAAAGAAAGTTGGGAGCTTTGACTCTTGTCAGGTCTCCAACGAGGGCCCCGCAGAGGGAGGTTGGCTCTGCAGATCTCTTGCTTTTGAGGACTGGAGCACTGGAAGTTTGAAAGGTGCCGCAAATGCCTCGGAGCCGGGGGCTGAAAAGGTTCAGAAAGAAACTGCCATGGACATATTCGTTATTCATCATGGGCAGCGGCTCGATCTGTCCGAGGAATGGCACTGACACAGTGGCGATTGACCAGATTCGAGTGTTGCGTGGTGGAGGTCCTTGCATGTCTGCGCACGGCAAGTCATGGTCCTGACGCCGTGCAGCTCACAGTCGCAACTCTGTTCGTGCTACTTTTCATGAGCTTGGAAAGGTGCATCGTGCAGGCAGCCGAGCAGCAACAGCACTCACTTAGAGCATCCCAGCTCCATCTGGTATTGCAGAGTGTTTGGCAGTTGTGGTTTCGACTGATGTCTCAGATGTGGCGACGGCCTTGCCAGCCTGACGATTCCGATAGCTGGCACCTTTCGCATCTTGGCATCGGAATCAACCGAATCGACATTCACCTGTCGATCTTACTGAGTTGCCTTCCGCCCAGGCATCTGCATCTGCGATGCGTCCGAAGTGGATCCCGGCTTCAGCAATGTCTCAGGTGTGAGGGATATGCTAGTCATCGCGTCACTTCGTTGCACACCCTGTGCAGGGAGAACTGCTGTGGTGAAGCTTGTGATGGGAGTTCATGTCCTGCGCAGGTTCGCTGGTCGCAACCCGGGAACGCTGCAGCCAACTGGAAGACTTCTGGCTCACCCCAGGCCATCCCTCTCTTCTATGTCCGTTTCAGAGCAGCGCGGCATGGAGGCAACGGCTCCCTCCTGGAGATCACCGAGTCCCAGTCGGTGGCAGAGGACATGGAAGCACGAAGGACTGAGAAGTATGGCCTGGTGTTGGGAGATTCACCCGAGGAGCCGAAAAGCGGGCTGGATGCTGCGCTGGCAGATCTTATGGATGACCATAGGAGTGGCAGGCAGCTTCTTTACGTGTTCAGCTTGCAGCAAACAATGAAGATTTTTGCTCCTGCCGCACTTGCAGGGCTGATCTTGTCTTCATTTTGGGTCTTATTGCAGCATCGATTCTGTCGGGGCCTCTCTCCTCGACCTGCCGGGACATGCAGGGAGCTTGCAAGTCAACCTGGGCCGGTGTTGGTCCGTCGCTTGCCTGTTCGAATCGCTGAGGTACTGTCTCGCGATCTTCTGCGCCTGCTGGTTCTGGCGCTACAGGTTGGATCTCTTGCCTGCAAGCAGAGACTTGGCGTTTTCTGGTTCAGACACTCCGTGCACAGGTGGCGCAAGCGGGCTGCATGGAGAAGGAATCGCGGGGATGGGGGGGGGGCTGGTCTTGCCAAGCGTGCTCGGGGTGGGCTGCAGGCTTGCCCCCAATCTCTTCGCCAACTCATTGGCGCCTTGCCTGCGACAACGGGTCTTGCTTTGGGCTATCCGACGTGCTGGCGATTCGCAGTCCTGGCGCAGGTGGCCAAAGCGACCAGAGCAGCATGGGAGGCCAGTAGTCCACCGGCGGCAAGAGGTTCGGCGTAGGGATCTCGTTGACGAGGCCTACACACGCACTATCACGGAACAGGCTCAAATTACGTGACCCAGCTGCACCGGTCGAGTCGGAACAGAAGCTTGCATCAGCAAGATCAGGTCGGGCTTGGAGGAAGAACCCGACCTGAAAGATGGCCAGGGGTTGGGGACCACGCCCCACCAGATCGATGATGTCCTGCAGGAGCTCCGCTGCAGAGTCACAGCTATTTGTGTGCGATATGCTTCCACTCCGCATACAGAAACGTTGCTGCGTTAAGAATGTGTTGTAACTTGCTGCGTGTCGATGTAGCAACGCATGCACGTCCTGGATGGCATGGACTCCGAAATGACATGTGGTGAACACAGACTAGAGCAGAAGTTTTCTGCATCACATGCTTAAGCCTGCTTGCTTTGCAACTTTCGCGAGGGCACGCTGACGCCGCCGGGAACGGGCTACTCATTGAAGAGCGCATCCTCCATTTACAGCGGCTCGACCAGCAGCACACGCTCCACCACACCAGGTGCTGCAACTGTTTATCCCAGCTCGTTCAAAGATCTGGAGCATTGGACGTGGCCAGGAAATCATCCCTCGTTGCTCAAGGCCGTCATCTCGGAGCGGCCTGGCAGTGTGCATATGCGCCTCACGCAAGCCGAGGTGTCGCTGAACAGGGACTACCCTGCTCGTTTTGACTCCTACATCTGTCTTGCAGAGATTCTCGTCGTGGCAAACAGTGACAGAGTGCCAGGATCCGAGCTGCCCATTCTCACCGAAGCAGGCCGAGCCGAGCTCCCCCCGAGCTGGTCCGAGCGTGCCGAACCTGCGGATACCTGCGGCAGGCAGGTGGCTCCTTCTTGGATCTTCCACTCGCAGGACGAGGACTCGGCAGCCGCAGACCTGAGGATGCGGTCCGAGCGGCCCTGGCCAGGTAGCCGACCCGGCACGAGTCCGACCCGTCCAAACTCTGGTGCTACGACACTTCGAATTGTTGAAGAGACCAGTCGCGGCCCCAAAGGTGGCAAGACTTGCTTCCAAGAAAAAGTGTTCTGGTCTACATGTAGCACAGGGCTGCAGACTCGGTCTCAAGAGTTGGAGTTTGGGGCGTCCGCGCATCTCAGATGTGTCTGCCTCCAGGCCCAGGCCCCACAGCGGTGGAGCAGGCAGGGGAGGCGAAGACTTCTGCCTTTTTGCTTGTTGGATATTTTTGCCGGGCATGGCTGTTCACCAGAAAGTCTGCTGCGCCTGGACTCTGCAGGCGTCGCCTCTCAGCCCTTCGGGTCGCAGCCTTGGGACGTACTGGAAAGCACTTAAGAGAGTTCTCTCCTCCCATCACGACGCGCTTTTGCCGACTGTGACGGCTGCAGAGATCGTAAAAAGCCATGCTGGGTGGTAGAGCCACTCGGGTCGTAACTTGCCAGGAGGAGAGAGGACGCCCCCGGATGCTGAGGACCGCCAGGGCGTGTCTGTGCCAACCTGGGATTACGGCCGAGATGCGCTTGCATGACCTCTGTGACTCTATGACCTCTATGATGTTCCGATCACATTTGTAGGAGGCTTCGTTCTTTGAATCTCCGAGCCTTCAGCCAGAATCTCAGTTGCACAGGAGACCTCCCCTCCGAGTGCCCCTTCAAGGCAGGCAAGTGTGGAGGGGGGACTTATGCATTGCAAAGCTGATCAAGGGAAGAGTCGTTACTTCAAAGCACCAGACGAAGGTAAGCCTTTTTGCATTGGCTTCGCTTGAACCGTGAAATGCCCGGCTCCGCTCGGCCTCTGAGATGGAAGGACCCTGGAGCTGCAGTTGCCGGGCTTGGAGAAGAAGCTGGCGAAGCTGAAGCGCCTCAAGGAGGACCCGGACACTGGGTCACGAGTCGCAGCATGCCAAAATCACCGCCAGATTGCAGGAGTATTCGGAAAGTTCGTCTTCTTCGGACGCGAGCCCTGTGCGCGAGGCCTCTCCCCATCCCTTGGACGGCATGGAATGCTTCTTGTAGAAATGGCTTTCTCTAGCAGACCAGCCAGCACATGTCATAAACACAAAGTAGCCAGTTAGCATCGCCACATCCAGAAGTTCCAGCTTCGTTCATGTTTCCTGCACGATTTCTTGTGGTCGTCACCATGGTACTCTGTCATTAAAAGCAGGTTTCTGCTCCGGTGTGCAGGCTCCGAAGGGACTGGTCCCGGTTCCGCCCAACATGGCGCCACCTACACTGCCAGGTTCGAGCTTCGTAGCTTTCTGATCATTGTGCACGGTTTCGCACTGCTTGTATCCACAACATTTGGCGTTCCTTGTCCGGTCTCCCGTGCATCCCACAGCCACACATCCAAAGCTGTTGGGAGGAGGCTGAGGAGGTAGCCCAAAACAACTGAGCCGAGGGCATCTCAGCATGTAGAATATGTCGCAGAACGCAGCTAGCATTTGGGCTTGCCAGGCCAGCTTGCATCCGCTCCGCAGCCTGCAGGGGAACCAGCGGCTGTGCCAGAGGCACCTCCGACATCTGCTTTGGAAGATTCACCTCGCAGCATCAGTAGGCGACGCTCGCACCAGAAGGGTTCGTTCATGGCTGACTACTTGGACGATTCCTGTCTCTGAGCGCTCGTAGAGTCAGGTGGCTCCGAGCGAATCTCCCAGACCATCCGAGGCGGCAGCGTGTGAGTGTTGGATGGGCTGTTCGCTCTGTGCACGCTGATGCGTGTGCAGGTCCCTCCGGCTCCAGTGAAACAAGTGCCGTCGCCCTCCGCTCACAAGAGAGGTGTAGGGCAGTGCAGGGGAGCCGGACGAAGAGATGTCAGCCTGCCAAGGTTGTCCATGCTGAAGCAGCTTCCCCCGCCCCCGCCTCTGAAGTCAAAGAAGTTGCAGGCACCCACCTGGACGTCTAGTTTTCCTCATGTCTGGGTTTGCTTTGTTCCTGCGGGTTGCTTCAATGATTCAAGGCCCAGCTTGTGGACCTTTGAGGCTTGTGGGATTGAAAGGTGTGGAAAGCTGTAGATTGTTTGCGGGCATGGCTTCGATAACGTAGTCGTTTCAGGGGTGACTGATGTGTTGAGACTGTGACTCTGCCCCCTTTCAGGGGGTTTAGAGTGTGGAAGGGTTGCACGGGACACGTGCGAGCGCCCTGATGCACTCTGCCCCTTCATGCAGACTAAGAATCTACACTGTGAGGAAAGCTCACCTGCAGCGGATGTCAGCCCTGCATGCGAGGCAAGTCGTGCATCAGCGTCGGTGTCTGCTGTGTAGGAGGTTACCCAGGCCGTTGCCCAGGTGTGAACGAGGGCGCTGCAAGAAGCAATCGGGGGTGGTGCTGTCGGCCTGAAGCGTCAAGTTGTTCAGGCGTATTGGTCGCACAGGGTTTTTGCTTAGTTAGGGCTCAAGTGCAAATCGGGGCCGAAGCATGGAGTTCTTTTCGTGTCTTGGGAGTGTTTTTCACTCTTCAGCTGATCTGCAGAGTTTGAGGAACAAATCTCTTGCTGAATGACTCAACGAAGGGAGAAGTCCAAGAAATTGGTCTCGCAGGCGGCAGACTTCCTGGCTCCCGGCATCACTCCAACTGTGGAAAAACTACGAATCAGAGACCGGAGATCAGAGACCGAAGATAGGGAGTCAGAGACCAGAGGGCGCGAATCAGACACCACAAGAGCGGTTTCAGAGACCAGTCTCCGGAATCAGGCCGCTTGGACTCAGAGACCAAGCAGGGTCGAATCAGAGACCAAAGCGGGCTGAATCAGAGACCTGGCTCCCTGATTCGACCTGCACCCGAAATCCCACCGTGAGAGAAGTACACGGTTGCTTGAGGATGCCAAACAGAAACTAAAGCAGCAGGTCGAGGAGTGCCATTAGATCCAAACTCATGGCAAGAAGCACGCCTTCAATGATAAATCGGATTATACTACTCTGGCTACTAGGACGACGACGACCACCACCACGACGACGACGACCACGACGACGACGACGGCGAAGACGACGACGACGACGATAGAAGTATAGAAGTCGTTGATACACAAAAATCCAGGGAATCACAACAAGATCCAATTGTCGATATTGCCGTTTCGTTGCAGGGGAATCTCAGGATGAAGACAGGGCGGCACCATGGTGATACAGAGCTGAACTGTGCAAGCTGCAGCTGCGCAGCTGCGACGGCAAACAGGACCACATACAGGAACAGACTGAAGTGTCAGGTGTCTTTCCAATGAAGATGCCTGAACTTCACGAGCCATGCCGGGATCAGATGGGTTTTTTGTGCGGCACTGCGTGGAGGCTTCGGCCAAGGCTCCGGCTCCCACTCCGCCAAGCAAGGTGCCATGCAGCCCGCCAGGCTAGCGCTCGTCCATCACATGAGCAGTCGCAGACATGGGCACTCTGCACTTGGACACCCGAAAGGCCAGCTCCAATCTGCTGCGGAGCCTCTGCAGGAACCGGCGGTCCCAGAGGCGCGCCGCATTGTATCTCTCCCGTGATGGAGCGATTTCGGGCTCGCATCATCCATTCAAGGCACCGAAGATTCAGACACCCCCAAGTGCTTCGAGCCCCTCGCCCAGACGATGGGAGGCAGTCGCTTCGCAGGGTCCAAGCTGTTGGCTCTAGAACCGAAGCTTAGGCCCGACGGCGGTGAAGCAGGCAGCTCCCGTTGCTCGTAAGTTGCTGGTAGGGTTTCGTTAGGGGCTTTCTCGGAGACTTGATCGTTTTGCTGCGGACACGATCACCTTACGTGCGAGGTCTAGCTGATGTGGGACACGAGAAGCTACGGACCTTCTGCAAGCAGATGTGGTGCCAGGTCCCACTTCTGCCTCTGCAAGCGACGCTTCCTCGCAGCCCACCTGGTCCGCCGCCAAGTTTTTCCGCGCGCATCTCCTAGAGACCCAACTGTTGTTGATTTCAGACAAGCTTGAGGATAAGGGTCGCAGAGGATGTCTGCATGCATTGCTCGGCATCGGAATTGCCGATGCGATTGTCTACACGACATGAACCTGGATAGACTCCTTTGAAGATCGGGTCGAGACTGCCTAATTCGTGAAAGACGCAGTGGTCTTGAGTTTGGTGCCCAGGCTTTTGACATGCTTGCTTCTAGGCAGATGGGGTTTCTGTCGACATGTCTCCTTGAGTCCTGGAGGAGAGAAGGCGCCAGATGCAGTGGAGGAGCTGCAAGTCTGGGTGTGGGATTCGGCGAGGCTTTTGCAAAGCGGAACCTGTCAAGTCTATCGTTACACTCCGATGCGCAGGAAGCCTCCCCTCCTCCTGCCCTGTCGAGGCAGAGGCGGACTTGGTGCCTGCACCCAACCAGAGAGCATGCAGGGCTTTGGGGTAAACGATTCGGGAGAAGCATGAGCCGTGCGCTCGAACACAGGGGCCAGCGGGACTCCCAACTGTCGTGAGCGCAGGACGCCGGAGGTGCCAGCCAGCACGGAAAAGGTGAGGCCGAAAGAGACAGAGGCCGGGCTCCTCTGCTCCCGCTGTAAGTTCTGTAGCTCCCAGCTCGGTTCCCAGTTCTCTTGTTTGGACATCTTTATGATACAAGCAATGCAAGCAAAAACGGGGAAACGACAAGTGGACTGGGAGGTTCAGGACGGCTGTAGTGAGGCCGACTTGGGGGCTTGCTGAGGAAAGCTCGCCTGCGGCCAGCCCTCCGCGGGAGGCGGACAATGAGGGGTCCTTGCACTTTTGTGTCTACAGCGCGCAGAATCACCCCTTTGAGGCAGAGGGTCCATTCTGGAGACCCTCTTTTCTGCTGAAGAGCAAGGGGCCCAAGGCCAGGCCCAATGCTTTTGCAAGGCTTGTAGCACAGCCGCCCCCCCCATATCCTTGGAATTCCTTAAGGAAGCCAGCTCTGTGTGGCGTTTCCGGATGTCTCTTTCTCGACTTTTTAGGACTTCCGGCCCGCGGGCTTTGTTCCTGGATTTCCGAGCACTGCACTCTGCCAATCGGCCAGTGCCTATCGTTTTGTCTCTTCGTTGAGCCCCCCCCCACCCCCTGCTGGAGTCATGCGGAGTGCGGCATGCGATGAGCCTGAAGGCTTCGGGACGCACGGGACAGGGCCGCTACCTGTCAATCAGACAGCCTCTGGACCTTTGTTGGATCTGTCCATTTACGCTGGTTCACCATGTAGAGCCTAGTTGTGAAGCACATCTGTCAACGTGGCAGCCCAGTGTTGAAGCAAACGAGCAAGCAGACACTCGGTCTTTGCGCCCGCTTTTGCAAGAGCCGAAACTGTGGCGACGGGTCCTGGAATTCTGTCCGCGAGTGGATCTCACGACCAGTGGTGCGGTGCCTCCAGCTGCAGCGCAGCGAAGCAGATAAGTACTTTGCAACCCTTCACGTTATGCCAGTCATCCATAACTATTGCTTCGAGTGATGTGTAGGGTCACGTCCACCTCACCTGCAAAAACGGGCAAAGCTGCTATGAGGGCGCCGGAAGAAGCAAGCAAGGGTGGCCCAACCACGGAGCTCATTTCAGCCAGTGTGTCGACCGTTTTTCATTGCAGGCGAATCACAGGATGAAGACAGGGAGGCACCATGGTGATGACCAGGGACAGCCCTGGACACAACACGCCGAAAAGAGCTGAACTTTGCAAGCTGCAGCTGCGCAGCTGCGACGGCAAACAGGACCACATACAGGAACAGACTGAAGTGTCAGGTGTCTTTCCAATGAAGATGCCTGAACTTCACGAGCCATGCCGGGATCAGATGGGTTTTTTGTGCGGCACTGCGTGGAGGCTTCGGCCAAGGCTCCGGCGCCCACTCCGCCAAGCAAGCCATGCAGCCCGCCAGGCTAGCGCTCGTCCATCACATGAGCAGTCGCAGACATGGGCACTCTGCACTTGGACACCCGACAGGCCAGCTCCAATCTGCTGCGGAGCCTCTGCAGGAACCGGCGGTCCCAGAGGCGCGCCGCATTGTATCTCTCCCGTGATGGAGCGATTTCGGGCTCGCATCGTCCATTCAAGGCACCGAAGATTCAGACACCCCCAAGTGCTTCGAGCCCCTCGCCCAGACGATGGGAGGCAGTCGCTTCGCAGGGTCCAAGCTGTTGGCTCTAGAACCGAAGCTTAGGCCCGACGGCGGTGAAGCAGGCAGCGCCCGTTGCTCGTAAGTTGCTGGTAGGGTTTCGTTAGGGGCTTTCTCGGAGACTTGATCGTTTTGCTGCGGACACGATCACCTTACGTGCGAGGTCTAGCTGATGTGGGACACGAGAAGCTACGGACCTCCTGCAAGCAGATGTGGTGCCAGGTCCCACTTCTGCCTCTGCAAGCGACGCTTCCTCGCAGCCCACCTGGTCCGCCGCCAAGTTTTTCCCCGCGCATCTCCTAGAGACCCAACTGTTGTTGATTTCAGACAAGCTTGAGGATAAGGGTCGCAGAGGATGTCTGCATGCATTGCTCGTAACTGAAGTCGCTTTCTATGACAGTGCAGCGTCCTTTCACGAACACATCAGCACAGATTCGTTTGAAGATCCCGTTGAGACTGCCTGACGCTGCCGGAGACGAGCCGGGTGGAATCTTTAACGGGGAAAGCGGGGGGTCGGATTGGGACTTGAGGAGCGACCACTAAGACGCCAGATGCAGTGGAGGACCTCTGCGAGTGCTGTGCCTGCCTTTTATAGGGAGGTTTCTCAGGCACGCTTTTAAATGTTCAGGAGACCTCCCCTCCGAGTGCCCCTTCGAGGCAGAGGCTGGCAATGTGAGACGTGAGAGTGGCTCATGGTGGCTCCAAGCAACGTGCCACCATGCGCTAGCGGCCGCTAGCGGGCTGACACGACTTTGCCTAAACTTCTAAACCCCCAAGCCTCTCAGTGCAGGACGCCGTCCACCTCGGAGGAGCCGAAGCCGGAGACGGAGGAGGCAACCTGTGTTCCTGCGCTGACATTCCCAGCTTCTTGAGCTCCTAGCAGCCCCTAGCGGTTTAGCGCTTCTGGGTTGCCCTGCAGTCTTCTCTGAACACTCTTGGCAGCACAAGAGGCCGGATTTCGTGCTTGATCAAGGGCGGGTTTGTTGGCATGTTTACCAGGGATTCTTCTAAAAAAGGTTGGGGGAGGAGATGCTGACGACGACGACGTCTATGAAGATGCTGCTTCTGCTGCTGCCGCTGTTGCTGCCGCTGTTGCTGCCGCTGTTGCTGCCGCTGCTGCTGCCGCTGCTGCTGCTGCTGCTGCTGCTGATGTTCATGTTGATGATGATGGTGTTGATGCTGATGTTGATGCCGATGATGATGTTGATGATCATATGACAATGATGCTGGTGATGATGACGATGCTGATGCTGATGATGACGACGAAAAACTTCGAGCCGAGTTCTTTAAGCCTTAAAGCGAAAAGCCGAAGGGCCGATACACAAAAGCAAGACACGTTGCAAACCCTCAATCCTAAATCAGTGTTTAGGAATAAACGTTGCGAACATGCACAGCATCATTTACGCTTACATCCTAAATAATGGTTAGGAACAGCGTTCTCTTGATCTCGAGGAGTTGTGGTTTGGAGTTGCACTAAAGTTGCAATAGTTGCAAGTTCTTCTGAATCTTACAATTTTTGGCAAGTTTGCTTGCCATTTTCAGCCAAGACTCTCGTCGCTAACACTCTTGAATCACATCTCGCCTGGACAGACGCTTCTTGGCTCGGCTTCACCCGCAAAAAAGATTTCCGTCTGGCACAACTCCTCGAAGCATGCCGACTTCCAAACTAAGAACTCCAGCAACAGGTTTTCGTTTCGGCCATACAGCAGGGATTCTTGCCGAATGACCAACAATTTCCATCATCATCGTGGCTGTCAGCATGTTCCAAGGTTCCTGATATACGAAATAAGGCCCGGAAGTGACCCTGCGAGCACCAACTTTCCTTAACCGAGCCGTCTGCCCCACAAGCTTCGGGGCACGCGTCCACCAAGTGTCCTTGACTAACATCCAGCACTCCAACTTGTTGGAGTGGCGGAGAGTGCCTCGAAAGATGCAAGGGGGACTGAAGTGATGTGGGGGGTAGTCGTGCCGCATGTCGCCAGTTGGGATGGCCATGCCTAGCCGCGAGCTTTGCATCACGTCCTGTGTGGAGGCTTCTGTGAAGCGCCTGGAGCGGGTTCGCCCAAGCGTGGCTCCGTCCAACCCGCCAGGCGCGGCCTGTATAGAACTAAGCAAATGTGCATCCCCCTCCGATTAAAGGGGAACGAAACGCCTTCGGTGGTGTTGCTGTCGCATCCCGGTGTCTGAGTGGTTTTCACAGACCTCTGCCAGGTCAGCTTGCAGCTCCTGCGAAGGAGCCTGCAGATTCACAAAAGGAATCAGTGGCGGTGCCAGAGGCAGCTATGCAAGCAGTACGCAGAGACTCTGATCGAGAGTGGTGCAGATGACCCGAAAGCAACAAATTCAGGCGTATTGAACTGTAGTCGAAGCACTCCATCGCCAAGTGTTCATGCGAGGCTGCTCCAAGCACTTCTGTCGACCAATTTGAGGTTCCCGGTTGCAAGTGATCGGGGAACAGTAGTGTGCGGCCCGCTGCCGCTTCTAGGTCCTTCTAGGTTGCTTTATCCCGTCATGTTCCAGAACTTTGTTGTGCACAGCCACTTTCCCAAGGCCATCATACCTCCGCCATGACCATGGTTAGCAGGAGAGTGTGGTTGGGTATCGGTTATATCGACCAGCCAGAGTCAGCCGGAGTGTAGGCATGTAGGCTAAGAGCTTGCATCACACGCTGGCAGGGGTGCCGTTTACCCCGCTCTGGAATCCGTATCCTGTGTGTAGGGGGGGGGGGGGTTTCTTGTGATACATAGCATACACGAGCTGGAGCAGGCCAGAAGCTTGCACCCCAAAAGCGGTACGTCTACGAGACCCTAAACCCGAAGTTGCAAGACTCAACAAATGCGAGTGGTTATCCGAGTCCACAGCCAAAAGCCGACTCTCTGGGGCCATGGCAGGTCGAACGCCGCGAGGAATCGCCAACGAGCTCTTCGGCCCCAAGGCCCGGGCCCGGGCCCTGGTGTCGCATCCGAAAGGCGAGCCTGGGAAATACTAGGGACATCTCTGCAAGATGGTTTGCCTGCAGGCTAGGGTACCTGCAGGAACGTGCAGCCGAAAAGTATGAGGGTGGATGCGACTTGTTGTTTAACTAGTTGAGAGCCAAGGAGGCTAGAGTTGGAGTGAAGGGGCTGCAATTTAACTCAAAATAAATGCATGTTCTGCGGACCCCCTGCCTAAGGCACGGGCGAAATCTTCCAACAGGAAGCTGGCAGGACACCCAGGACAAGCTCCAACAGGTGCCTTGGCCGAGTTGGTGAATGGGGAAGTGCAGAAAAAAAGAAGCAAAACCCTCGAAGTTCACAAAACTTGACGCTTTCTGACAAAGCCAGTGGAAGCCGTGAGCTGCTGCTGTGTCGGTGCGCACTTTCACGATGCAACGCCATGTGGTTCACCCTGCTCGCCTTGCGATTGAAAGTTGCAAGCTGCTGGAACTTGCTCTCACTGCCAGCCTCCCGCCTCATCAAGACCTGTCCAGTTGCAACTGCACGCTTCTACACCAATTTTGATGCTGTAGGCCCGACAAGAGCATACAGCAGCAAGGTACCATCTCATTCAGATGTCTTGCACCGGTAATCCATGTCTTTCGGTTTTTCTTTCATCCTCCTCAAATCATCTCATCACGGACATTTGCCGATCCCGATTTCCGACTCAAAGACCTGGCAGGAGTGGTACTCGAAGTTGGCTGCGGGCGTGGATGACAACGAAAAGCCCGGCCGACGGGGAAAAAAGGCCAGGGCTCGGAGGGGGGAGGGGATGCACGCGTTGCAGAGAAGCCATTCTGCTGTTGTGGATGCAGTGTTGGGAGGCTTCTCTTCTGAGGGGAGCTGCGACAGGGCAGCTCGTCTGAAAATCAGCTGTGTGAGTTTCCCCGGGGGCCAGCCTATTGACTTTGCTCAGAGAGTTGCCCGAGTCTAGTTTGCATTGGGTTCGGAAGTTGGCCCGCTGGACCCATTACCCCGAGCTGCTCGAGTTTTTTCCGATGTCTTGAGGTCACGCAGGGTGGGCGCCTCCTTGCGGGGGGCAGCCTCCGCTTCTGCAAGCGCTGCTGGCAGCCAGATGGGTAGCCACTTGGCGACACAGCAACGCCTCTTCAGGTGAGTTCCGGTCAACAGGTAAGGAACTCATCATGAGGGGTGTCTTGGGTACTTGTTCCAGGGGGGGAAGCTTACGTCTCGGAATATTTTTAGCGCACGATTTCTCTTAGCACTTGTTTCCAAGAGGGCGTGGCGGGAGGGGGGGGGGGGGGGG